GTGCGACACCTCGCCTTTGAAGGGGTTGCACCTTCTGCAGACGAAGCAGTGGGTCTATTTATATCCCCCCGACCCACTGGGGGTGAGTGGGGTGTAAAGACAAAGGATCAACCTCGAGGCGTCAATAAAACAACTGTTTTTAAATTGCGAGACAAAATGGAGTAAGACATACAAGCGGCTCCCTTTAAACACCCACATTTACCGTAAAGTTAACGTTAAGATTAGCAACGCGCTGTTCAAATTAGCTTTTTTTCCTTTTGCCAAGCAGCACATGGAGAGCAAGCAGACCGCTATGGTCGAGAAGAGACGTAGCTTTATGACGAAGAATCTCCATCGAAAGAACTGAGTGATAGACTGGATCGTGTTAAGATAGTACACAATTCAATTTTTCAAAAGAGCAGTTCTCGAAAACGAATCTGACACAATTTATCGTGTGTAAGCGGAACTTGGAGCAATATATATCGCTTAGGAAAACCCCCCATAGAATCAAAAATAGCACTAGACTATCCAAGTGGACAACGATTTGGCACAAAATAGATTCTTACGTCCGCTGTCACCAACAGATCACTAGGGCAAGCAAATACATGGGGCCAAGTTCAAAAAATTTCAAACTAGAGTATTATTGGTGCTACCACGAAGGTCGCCCCCCCCCCCTTTCCATTTGTTTTTAAATTTCAAAATTAAATAAAGGGTGGGGGAGGAGGGTGTGGGTAGAGTAGATAGAAACCAAACTCAAAACGTCATCACAGGTCTGAGTGGAGGTGTTCAGCCTCTCGTACGGTGTAGATCAAGAAAGCATTCTGCAAAAAGCGCTTACGCTCCGTAGATTTGCCGTCCGTCAATACAACGACGACTTTTGGGGTGTCCGGCCTGGCACCCCACGCCTCGGTCAGGGAGAACTTTCGTCCAAACTCCAGGGCAGCTCCGGTGGCAGTCTTTCCTCGTTTACATGTGGGGCAACTCAGCTCTTCAACAGCCTGTGGGGAAAAGGGGGAAAAAAATAGTAAGCACAATGCCAGTCGTGCTGTGCAAATTATAAGGCTCTAATTCCGTAAAAAGCTATGATGAAGACGAAGGATTCGTGTTTGATTATACTATGCTAGATTTTTAAAGGGGTTTTTTTTTTTTTGGGGGGGGGTGTATAAATAAATCCAATATGAAAAAGGCCGTATTGTAGATACGCTTACTGTGGACAACTTCGAGAACGGGGGTTATTATACCCTAGTATTGACTCACTGGAATAATAGACTAGGACGGATAAAACGAATAAATACATGTAACTTGGACCACAGCGTAGATTTTTTAACAAGGGCGTTGTTCATCAGAAGGATTAAACATGGAGCTACCCAGGTCTTTGAAATGTACCTTCAACACGTCAGCTGTAGTGCTGAAATTGTTAAAGTTGAATACGTCGTGGACACCGTTAGCGAACAGGACCAAACCCACTTTGACATCAGTCGGGCTCACTTTAAAGTTCGCTGAAATAGGAACAATTCAGTTAACAGCCGAAATTGTCGAAACGGCCACATATTGTTGAGGTGCAAAGTGCTCCTCTGAGACAGGCAGACGTCCTGGATAGCTTTATAATAGGACAAACGTAAGAAGCTGGAAGTGGTCGTTGTACAAGTAATTGTCTTGGTCGTTTGTCTCGGTCGTTTACCCATGTCTCGGTCGTTTGCCAAAGTTATTGTCTTGGTTAGATCAGGTTCTACTGTTATTGTTGTGTCGAGGCTCGTCTTTTTGCATGTGTGAACCTTTTGGGTTTTATCTCTAGATTCATTACAGTCGATTGAATATATAGAAAAAAAATTCTCTATACTGTAGCCTCAAAGCTTCGCTGCCAAGTCTTGACTATCATACAAAAGTCAGAGGTATTCACACAATGAGAATCGGTCTACAGACAACCTAACTATTGAAAAGATGGAACTGTCAGACAGTTTAAAGATAACTATTTGGCAAGAAATTTAGTTCTCTTCAGACATGTTATGGTTCATATTTGACAGAAAGTTTCTAGGACAGAAAGCAACCGGCGTCTTAAGAACTAAAACCTTCAGTACAAGCTACATTAAAATACTAGGAAACGTACAGATCACTTCCCGTACAAAATCCCGTTCCTTCAGGAACTGGTTTGGTTTGATGCTGGCGGATTTATCCACGAGGAAAAGCAAATCCAGACGAGCAGTGCAGGGGGCTGGAGTTTGCGACTCCGTGGGCGGCTCCGTGGGCGGTTCCGTGGGCGGCTCCGTGGGCGGTTCCGTGGGCGGTTCCGTGGGCGGTTCCGTGGGAGGCTCCGTGAGCGGCAGCGTGGGCGGTTCCGTGGGCGGTTCCGTGGGCGGCTCCGTGGGCGGCTCCGTGGGCGGCTCCGTGGGCGGCTCCGTGGGCGGCTCCGTGGGAGGCTCCGTGGGCGGCTCCGTGGGAGGCTCCGTGGGCGGCTCCGTGGGAGGCTCCGTGGGCGGCTCCGAGGGAGGCTCCGTGGGCGGTTCCGTGGGCGGTTCCGTGGGAGGCAGCGTGGGAGGCAGCGTGGGAGGCTCCGTGAGCGGCAGCGTGGGAGCCAATGTTGGAGCCAATGTTGGAGCCTTTGTCGGAGCGATTGTCGGAGCGATTGTCGGAGCGATTGTTGGAGCCAATGTCGGCGCGGGAGTCGGTTCTAAGACAAAATCGGAGAAATCGTTACAGTAAAGAAATGGTCCATGATTTGCAGTTTTTAAGGTTTTAATACTGCATATTACGAAAATGAAAAGATTACCTTTTGGCATGGCGTCTTTAGTGAAGTCTACGTTCAGTTCCAAGCTTTTGGTCTCCCAGGTCCAGCCTTTTTTATAACGGCATTACATCCCAACCATATCCATTCCATTAAACTCTTATACATTTGGTTCAGTTCATTCATGTACGTTTATATCAATTTATTCAAAATACGAAACCGTGTACATACAGACAATACAGAATTCAAATTGTATCTCTTACATTCATTGGCCACTTGAGATCTCAAAACATCTTTTCTAGAAGTATTCCTCATCTTATTCTTTACCTTTCTCGGCAACTTCGCACGCTTTGGTAGCTACGTTCTCCAACATGGGCAGGAGTTTCGAGAAATCACTAGTCATGAAGACCAAGCTTTTATCAGACGCCAAAAGTTCCAGTTCCGACTTCTTTACTTTCCCCACACCGATGCTGATCACCTGGGCCCTTTCTTTCATCAAGGCAGCCTGTTGCTTCAGATACTTGGGGCCTGATGCACAAGGGGGAAAAATACGTTAAAACTTGTTGAGGAACTGAAGCTAAGCACATCCACAGAAATCATTTTTATGCCTACTCATAAAACAGACAAAAAACGGGAGGGGGGGGGGGGTGGCTCTCATGGTCTAGGGGTTAATGTGTTCGCCTCTCAATAAGTACGGGGTTCGAATTCGGATAGGGAGGGAAAATTTTATTCTCTAAAATTCACATGCTTTCATGCTCTCAAACAACGTTCTGTCGTCAGCATTTGAGACCTTTGCCCCCTCTGGGCTTCAGACTCTTTCTGCAACCTTTCTACTGCTTCTCCTTGGCTCTTCTGTCTTTCAGTTTCACCCCTTATCTCATGGGAGGTCAGATCTACACCTAGCCTTCTCGGATAAGGGCAAAAAATCTCGAGAGTCCCTGTGCAAGTTGCACACGTTTAAAGATCCCTTGGTAGTCCAAAATCATAAGAGTAGGCTTCGGCTGCCACCAAGGCAAAATTCAAAATATCTTACGAACGGAAAATGTTGTCTCCTGCGTTCTTGTATGACATCTTGCAGTTGCGAGTGCCGTAAAACAAAAAAGCAAAAAAAAGCAAAACAAGGTCAGCTTCAAAGCCCCCTCCACAAACAAATAACATGAAGAGAATGTTAAGTAATAAATTTACATGCTTTTTAACAAGACTTCTAAAAGCACGTATAAGAAGATTGTGAAAACAAAGGCAATAGCCCATTCAAAGTTTAGCTTATCGAAACCCATCCAATTAAAGAATGGAAGTATCAATCGGGGACATCTTGTAAACTGCTTACTCTCTGTAGATCTGCCGTCTGTCAAGACGACCACAATTTTCTTGACACCTTCCCTAGCTCCACATTCTTTGGTCAGAGAGACTTCTCGCCCCATCTGGAGGGCAGCTCCGGTGCCAGTTTTTCCTCGTTCACATTTTGGGCAGTCGAGTCCAGCTACTGCCTGTATGGAAAAACAAATATACAATTTGCAGTTCTGAGATTTGTTTATGAAATAACTGTCATTTTACGTAAAAGCTATAGATAATTACAAACAATTGCTATATGTTTTACGAGTTTACACGGTACCGCATGTAGAATTCCGTCATAAATCAAATCATTGATACAAAAAGTCACACACCAAAAAAAAAAGTGGTCAACAGCCTGTATTTGTGAGCAAAGCTTTTTCGTTGCTTTGAACACTGAACCGTAGATCTAGTCCCACAAAATTGAATTGCCGCATTTCGTTATTCTTATAGATTGGACTATATTGCAATCTTCCGCACTTACTAGGTCCATTTATAAAATTCCGACTATAGTTACTATGTCCCTCCCCAAACTTAGAGCATTGTTGAAGGCCATGGAATCCATCTAGCAGGCCTACTGTCCCCAAATAATGGTTGCGCTTTGCAGATACGAAAAGAACTTGAAAATGATATATCTACTTGGCAGAAAGTCTTACACGAACGTAATTAACTTGACTTACAAAAACGTAATTCATTTCCCAATCCTAAACCATATACAAGAAATATGGACAACAACCAATATCAAAATATACCTTTGTCACTTCTTCCTGGGTGGAATACTTGTTAAAACAGAATTTGTTGTGAGCTTTAATGGCAAACAAGACGAGTCCCACTCGGACTTTATCTGGTCCAATGTCGAACTTTTCTGGAGACAAAAATACATTGGAATGATTGTAAACTCCTTTAACATTCCCATATACATACAATTTAGATATTTAGGAGAGGGGGTGCAGGTTTTTGCCCATTCGGGCCGTGCACGTGACAAAACCTGCACTACACAGATTAGGCGACAAATGAGGAGTCCCGAAAGAAAACTAAAGTTAGTTATACCATGGAAAATTGCAAATTTGGAATTGGAACTCTAAAGAATACTCCCGCCACCACCATCCCCATCCCCCCACCCCACCCTCGCCCGGACCTAATTAGAAAAAATTAGGACATCCACATCAATGATGACTACAGAGTTCATTTACATAACGACAACCAAGGTCTGATTGAGGGATCTGAATGCACAGCATCGAGCAACATTTGGGATAGAAAAAAAACCGACATTGTTCAATATTTAATATAATCTATAGGGGAAAATTAGAAGGCTGCAAAATAGATGTTCTCAAAATGCCAATGTCAATACTGATTGAGTAGGATTTTTACGGCACTATCGACTCGTCATATAATGTCAATACTCTATACACAATGTAATTGCTCTATACACACTACAATGGCTACTGCAGGACGCCTTCGTTTAATACATCGGGGTTTTATAAGTTGTGAAAAGATCTTAAATGTGTGAACAGACGACAAACGACAAGATGAATTGTATTTCAAACACATCCCTTTTGTTAAATTTCACAAATTGGTCTATTGACAATTTAAATCTGAACTTCTCCCCAAAACCATCTAAGCTCGCAACTAGCACATTCTAAACATTAATTTGCCAGTCTTGATGTCTCTTAAGATCGGTCCTGTTGATTTTGCTGGAAAGAGAGGAGTGGACACTTACCGATCATTTTTGCAACGAATTCTTTTTCCACCTTAAACTGGTGAGGCTTGATGCTGGCAGATTTGTCTACGAGGAAAAGTAGGTCAACTGGGGCACTGCATTTTTTCTCCTCGGCCACTGGATCGTAGAAGAACGTGCGGAATGAAAACATTTTTCTACTTTATAGGCTTTTACAGCGTGGAGCAGACCATCAGAAGAGGTTATACATTTTAATTGAAAATCAAAAGAAAAAATAAGGCTACCGTTACATTAACTTACGTAAATGTAACATCACCAGAGATACAATTCAGTTGAATTAGGTTTTACCATAGGTGTCAAATTTCATTTTTCGTTTCAATGTTGAAATGGTTCAGAGGAATTTTTTCAAACTTGAAATTTTCGTTTTACTGTCCATACTTAAGGCTTAAATCAACCCCACCCCCTTTATAAAACTGAAAATTTAAAAAGCATACAAGACCCTAAAAAAACAAGAAAAGAAAAGCCGAATCGAACCTCGGTTAATACAGGATAGAGGACCCGATTTTGGTCTATGAAAATGAAAGGCAATGCAGGCATGTGCGATCTTAATAAAAGACTAGATCTAATTATTTCGATGGTTTACTGCCTAAAAGACACAACTCCAATGAGTCAATACACTGTACCGGTGTGTCGTGTTTTACTGTCGTATCCATACGACGTGGGGAACTCTGTGCCACCACTTTCCAAAGAGGAAATTTACTCGTTAATCCGATCCGTACGCTTTGCATAGTAGTCTGTCAAAATTATTTTTTGAGAAATGCTGAAAGTTTCAAAGAGATCTTCGTACTAGAAGTATTCTAAAATGTTGAGAACACAACCCCGGGGGTACAAAATGACCTCAGGGCGTACGGATAGGGTTAAGGTGGGGATACACCCCCCAAAGTGCCGATGATTCGGCTCAAAATTAAGGAATTTGAGTTCCTCTCCTACAACTATTTCATCTCATTAGAACCCTCAAATTCGCATTTTTTTTCCCCATGCCGTTTGTCACCACCATTTCCTCATAATGTCAATATTTTATTTTTCTTTATCGGCCGTTTTCTCAAAACGCGACTGTTCTCTATATTTTTTTGAATAACTTCACCATTTCACCATCTTCATGAAATTTTCACAGAATGGAGAGAAGATTTCGTACTAAAAATTTATGTTGAATTTTTGAGTGTTGATTTTCACGGATTGTTTGCAAATGTGAATGCTACCTCAGGAAAAAAATTCATTAAAAATGTCTAATTCGTTTGGGGGAAAAAACTGACAAATTTTTAGATCTAACGTTTGTTAACATGCATGCAAAAAAAAATTAATTTCTATGAGCAATAAGTGCGGTATCCATTACGAAAGACATAACAATATCAAATATGGCCGCCGCATCCACGGAAACGAAACTTTCTTAAATTTGATTGCATGTTTGAAGACTCCTTACTATGTTTGTTATATGGGTGAAGTTTGGTAAAATTCGGTCCAGTAATAAGCGAGATCTTCAGGGGTAGCCCCCCCTTAAGAAGGTATCAAACAGGAATTAATCAAAACTTGCCCGTTGTACACAGCACCATGGACACCAGCGCCCCAAACAACAGCGGGTAATACCCCATAGTGGCTCTGAAACAGAAATAAAAGAACTTAGGAGCATCTGTTGCCCTTTATACAAGTCAGGAATTTAGAGACTGTTTTCTTTTCCGTTGCTAAAGAGATTTAGATGCGATACTAGATCAAAACCGCTTCTGTGAGAGTATCAAAATTAAGAGTTTTGCAGAATGTTCAAACAGGAACGAGGCAACTGATTAAGGATAATTACGAGTAAATTCAACAATAAGAGACGAGCGACAGAACTTTTAAAAGATAGGCCTTGATCTACTTACAAGTCTCGAAGTGCAAGACCTGATAGTCTAATCTATCTTGAAGATATGTTGAGAAATAAATTCCTGACACTAGAACATGGCTTTTATAGATAAAGAAACAAATGTAGATCTATTTCTCTTTTTTACAGATCGGGATCTTTCCAAACATGGGTTTTGGGGGGAGTTTTCGCTCACTCTGAATAGAAGACCGTGAACTTTGAAAATGAGTGAACATTTGAAACGTATGAAAATTGCGTTTGAAACAAAGACAAATGCTTCGACAATACTTAAGAGTAGATCTACGACGTCGTATTTTTTTCCATAAGTGATAATCGTGAATTGTAAATATAAAAAGAGAACTAAGACAGTGACTTCTGTACGTACGAGAATTGCTTTGATAGTGAGCATGCGCGTCTGGTTGTGATATTGTGAGTGTAGGGGTGGGTGAATAGGTTGGGGGGGGGGGGGGGGCTATTCCACAGCCATAATGTTATAGTGTTTTCCCATGGCGTGCATGTAATGCATTATACGCCTTAGCTTAAACACCCCCTCCCCCCTCCCCCCCCCCCAAAAAAAAAAACAACAAACAAACAAACAAACAAACCTAAGCAGACATGACCTGAATATCATGCTCACAATGTATTTTATCTTTATTTAAAAGTGGTTCACAAACGTGGTGGAAATATGAATACTGTAAATTAGCTCTAGGTGGTTCACTGTCGTGTATCCGCGACACAACTGTAGCTCATTTATTGTTTTGTCAATCCGCATGTAGCTTTATGTAGTGCTCCCGGCTGGCAACCAAACAAAAATATTTGCTCAAAATGTTATCTTGATCCAGTAATAAAAATGTTTCTTGTTTGGGGCCCTTTGGGTTCATCCACTGAATCTCTCAAATAAATGTTTTACAATAACCTAGCCCACAAATTGCTCATATCTTTTTTTAACAACCACACCATCCTGACCCCACATTTCAGTGCAAGCTTGTAGATTTCCTCACTAGACCGTCTGTGCGTCTTTACGTGAGTCTCAAAGTGTGTTCACTTGTCCGCTGGAACCTTAACAATCAGTGAAAATTCCGTTTGGGTGTGTCCACCAAAATGAACCGCACAACCTTGCAAAAGACGCGTCGGTTGGAATGCTGCATGCGACAGTTTCTGTCTTCTTCGTGATTTATCAGCTACACGCCCAGCCCGAACTTGAAAAAGTCCTCTAATTTTAAGTTTGGATATAACGTATAATGTTATATTCATAATCAACGTCTCAGAATTAACAAAGTCGGCGCGTTCATTGACCTCTTCACTATTTATGATCCGTTACAGTGGACTCAGCCATTGTCTCTGGATGCAGTGAGCCGATGACCTAGTTTCGTCGGTCACGGCAGTGACATCTTCGTTCAAATAGCTTCACTCAAAAGCAGGCACAAATTCGTTCATATCATAGCTTCACTCAAAAGCAGGCACAAGATAAAATCCGTTATATACGACACTGGTACAAAAGAATCCACTAAAAGACACTTTTTGTAGGAGTGTACACAATGTATTTTGTTTATCCATGCAATGAATACAAACTCTTTATTTAATAGATAAGTTGTATGAAAAACAGCATCTTTGACTACGCTGCCCTGAAAAGGCCCACCTTACTACTACCTAGTGGGAAATTTGTTACTCAGTCATAACTTACTTAGAGTTTGAAGAGAACAGCTGAAAAAAAAAGATGGAAGTCGAAAAACTGATAGAAAAGGTGTTTAAATACTGTTATGAGCGAATTTGTATCGAGTATCTCGATTTTTCTGTTGGGACATTGTAGGCCTATCTCTCTCATCCTAGGTTGACCCGGGCAGGCAGGGTCGAAGCTCTATTAAGGAATAATATAATTTGTGTCAATGGATGTCCTAGATTAAAAAATAAGAGGCAGGTCTTACCACCCTCAACAGATAATTCCTGAGGTAAAGTTGCACACCGTGCAGAAAAAAATGGCCCAAATCGGGTGGCTGGCTGGTGCTCTGGTGTGGTTTGCTCCTTCTTTCCTATCAAACATCTATCGTCCTTACCGTCCCTCCTTCCTTCTCTTATTGGTAACTCACTGGTAACACCCCCAGTCTTTGGCGCTTCAATGGCCTTACTGTGTTGCAAGTGCCGTAAAATTTTTACTAAAACAAAACGGCTCAAAACCATTAGTTTGGTGTAACCTACAGTAAGTGAGACATTAATATTAAAACGAAGTGCGCCGCATTTCTCGTGTAACCGTTAGCTAACTCTTCACATTGCACGCAGTAGACATGAACTATTTGGTTCTCACGTAGGAATCTTTTACTGTTGTTCTGTTTCATTTTGTTTTTGGCTTGTTTTTGTTGGGAGGGGTGGTTGTTTTTTTAATTGTTGTTGTCGTTGTTGGGTTGGGTTTTTTTTTGTTTTGTTGTTGTTTTGTTTTGTTTTGTTTAGGGGGGGGGGTGCTGGGAGGCTGA